TCCGGGGCGCGGGACCACAGCCGGCCGCTCCCAGCAGCCGAGAGGGGCCGCGGCAAGGCAGCTGCACGCCGGCTCCCAGGGTGCTGTCTCCTTGGTGGGGGAGATGAGCAGGGGCACCCCTAGGCCAGGGCCTCTGCCCTGCTGTCGACCTCAGCCCTGCGGCAGCCCTACTGCGAAGCCCCCGCGCCTCATTGCTTCAGTGTCACGCAGATGGGCAGGCTATAGGGCATCCTGCCACCTCCTGGGCCGCGGGCCCCCTGCTCTACCGTGGGGTCAGGATGGGCATTGTTGACACCTTGCCTGGCGTGGTGGCCTGCATGGAAGCCAGATGGAGTCAGAGAGGTTGCCCAGCTGCTCCTCATGCTCCCCGGTGGGATTTCTGCTCTGTTGCAGTGGAGGGAACACATGTTTCATGGCGTGCTGCAGCAGGCACAGAAGAGCTGCTGGAGGCCTCCCATGGCTGCAACCCCCCAGCACAGGCATTGGCAGAGACGAGAGGTCCTTCATTCCCAGTCACACTGATAACACCACCACTGCCGTTAGCAGAGGGGTGAGAAGTGCTGTGCACGCTGTCAGCTCAACAACAGGAACAGACTATTTTGTGGAGAGGCCAAGGAAGCTCTGTAGTCCAACAGTTAGAGCTGGAAACAGTAAGAGGTGCTGTACTAAAACTGTAGAGGAGAACAAATGGTTTAGAAAAAGTGGATTGGAAACCTTTTATTCTCTCCTCTCGTGCAAGGCAGGAAGAGAAGAGATCACTGAGGATTCAGCATGAACCATTGCACTGTGGAACTCACTGCCACAGGATGTTGCTGAGATCAGAAGATTAGTGCTCAGAAACAGCCCAGAAGATATTAAGAGGAATAAGGGTCTCCAGTAAGTTCACCCTGCAAGAAGAACATCACACAGGAGGCAAGAAATCATGTTCAGGGCTGTTAACCTGTTTCTGCCATTAGCAATGGGGATGACACCCTGTTAGGGGACAGAATTTCACCCACATGCACTTTACCCTGGTGCCACCCTAAATTGGAGGAGGGACTCTAGGGCAGTCTACGAAGATGGTGGAGATCTTTCTGGTTAGAGTATAGAAGACCCCGAGCCACCTTTGTGCCTAGATGGAGAACCCATTAAACAGGTTGATTCATAGCTTCATCACACAGTCCTGTATGAACCCAACTTACTCAGCCAATTTCCGAGCTCCTGGCCTCATGGTGCTCTTTTCCTTAGTTCCGGTCTGTGGTGTTTCTGTTTAGGGGCTGGCTGTGTTTTGATCCATCTCTTTTATCATGCTGGGAATCACTTTGGCTCTTATTGTATTTGGCCTCATTTTCATCCCAGGTGACAGGCTAGAAAACAGTGATGACGCCAAATGTTGGGCAAGTAGAGCAGCTTTGCATTGTTCCAGGTTGCATTTGGGATGGCCACATCCCCCTGATTATTCCTCGTGGCAGCTCCAATTCCCAAGCCCCGAACCCTGGTGCCAGTTTCGGTTTAGCAAGGCACTGTACGTGATTAAATATTCCTGTGATTGTTGTTGTTGTTTCCAAGGAATACTTCCGGATTTGGCAACCCCCGCACACACACCCTCCTTCTTGCTCAGACTTGACTTTTGCAATTGTTTGCTGGATGGTGTTCCTTCCGGCTCCTCCAGTCATCATCAGCCTTAAAGTATTTGGAGGCCAGAACTGCTAGTGCAGACAAGATGAGTTCATCACAACCCAGTGATTCCTGCT